GCTGGCCAACTGGGTGCTGGAACCCAAGCCTGGGTCCTCTTACAAGAGAAACTGCTCTTAACCATGGAGCCATCTCGCCAACCCCCCTTAAAATCTTTTGTTTTCTTGTAACAAAGTATAAAAACAGAATCCTGGGAAATGAAAGCATCCTCTTCGAATCCATTGTCAACACAACAGTTCCCACAGCATGAGGATCATCTAGGACATCCAGCAAGGCCAAAGTCACATCCTGCATCATTTTATTATTTGACCTCCGGTCAAGAAGGACTCCCCTGGGCAGATTTAGTAAGCAGGATTTCTCCCAGAGAAGGTATTATGCAACCCCTCAGATCACTGGTGATTGGCCAAGTCACTTGGGAACCTGGCTACTGGCACTGCCCTGTGCACAGGGCTCCCTCTCACATCCTCTTTGCTCACACACCACCTTTGGGTCTCTATACTTCTGAGTGTGCTACTCACCTAATTCCAGATTTCCCTAGGGGCAGCGGATGCAAAGGCCAGCAGGTCAGTGGTGGAGAGAGCTGCTAACTACATAGAACAGTCTATGAGTACAGGAAGATAAGAAGTGGAGACAAGGAAAGTACAGAGACCAGCAGCAGAATGGGGCAACGAGGAACCCTGGCCTGTCTTCTCTTCATCTCCCACAGCCCTGGGTGGGGTTCCCAAGCTTGGCCTAACCCCAGATATATTGGCCAGATTTTTGTACAACATCTGAGAAACCTACTTAAAGGAAGAGCAGGTTATTGTGGCTCATGGTTTCAATCCATTGCTTTCAGGCCTGTGGCATGGCAGAAACACCATGATGGAAGGATGTGACTTTATGGTGACCAGGAGGCAGAGGGTGAAGGATTAAGAGAATAGGAACAAGGTAAAGCTTTTAAAGGCATGTCTCCAGTGACTCTTTCCTCTAACCAAGCTCACTGTCTGATGATTCCCCTCAGCTGTGAAACTCATCACCAGCTTAAGTCGTTGCTTAGTTTGGTGTCTTCATGGTTCAATCACCTCCCAATGGTACCACCTCCAGGGGGACCTGGCCTTCAATACATCTGTTCCCAATGACATTTTATATCCAAACTGTAATAGCAGCTGTATTCACTACTCCAAGGGACCCAGCCTTCAATACACCCATTCCTAATGACACTTTATATCCAAACTTTAATAGCAGCTAGTTCACCAGCAAACCCAGTGCTTTGGGTGAGCATATTTCCCATGTCCTCAGAAAAGAAACCAGAAGAGTGAAAACACAAATGGATGTGACTATATTTTAGTTTTGGGATGTAAACTCTGTTGAAGAAACAAGTATGACCGGATACCTGAACTATCATAACAGGGGTCATACGTCACACAGAAGACCCCAGACTTAGCTCATGGTCTGTGAAATTTGTAAGTAAATACATTAACCTTGCAGGGTGTGCTTGAGTGCAAATGGGGATCATCACTATTTGGGATGTGAGCTCTTCCTGTGAGCCCAGAGTAAGGGTGTGGCTTCCTGGACGTGTGTTTTCCTTGGGGGTCAGTACTTCAAACAGGTGTCCTGCCCAGGCCCACGGGGTGCCAGCGCTCCTTGAAAGCAACTTTCAGGACCAGCTGCCTCTGGCAGGTTGTCCCCAACCTCTGGAAGTGCCCTGCCTCCATCTAGCCAGCACTGAATGTTGGGCACGTCTTGCCCTGCATGCTGGAGGCTGCCTCTCAGTAACATACACCCATCAGACCCCATCCAGCCCTGGGACCACTCAGATCTAATACTGTTGTGGAATATTGTTTTAACTGGGCAAAGATGTGTTACATTTGTTTATGCTGCAGAATATTAGTTTAACGATGTAAAGATGTGTTCCTTTTGTTCATGCTGCATTTGTGTAATTATGTAAAGAGGTGTTGTATTTATTTCACCTTGCCTCCACAAGGCACCTGATTGGTCTAATAAAGAGCTGAACGGCCAGCAGCTGGGCAGGAAAAGGATAGGTGGGGCTGGCAGGGAGAGAGAATAAATAGGAGGAGAAATCTAGGTTCAGAAGGGAAGAATGAGAGGAGAGGAAGAGGGACGTTCCCGGCCAAGAAGCCAGGCAGAGCCAGCCAGCCAGCCAGAAGCAATGAAAGGAAGATCTGCAGAGAAAGGTAGTAAGCCCCGAGGCAAAAGATGAACAGGTTAATTTAAGTTAAAAGAGCTAGCCAAAAATGTGCTTAAGCTCGGCCAGGCATTCAAAACTACTGAGAAGTCTGTGTGTCATGGTTTGGGAGCTGGTTGGTAGTCCAAAAGAAAAAGCCCGGTACATAATACCTATTCAAAAATGACCAAGACACTCAGAGGCCAATGTCCAGACCCACCTGGGTCAGGGCTGATCACATATCACCCCCAGTTCTTTCACCCCTTCCTTCCACTTGGCTTTGATGTGGACCTCCCTTCCTGGCCCTATGGGAACCCTTGCTGGTCATTGGCTCTAGCTGTGGGTGAGGTCAGGACTGGACACTTGGTTTGGCTGTTAGGATCCCAGAGAACCTTGCCTGCATGTTTGAATGGATACTGTTCTCCAATGGATCTGGATGTTGCTCTGCACTGGAGCCTCAGAGCAAAATGACGGGGAAAATAAAAAAAGCCTCAAATGAAAATCCTGGCACAGCCCTTAAGCCAGGTCCTCAACAGATACCTAAAAATGCATGGGATTGAATGCATCCATCATACCTTGCAAAACTCAAGGGGCCTCCAGGTGAACTTCTATAATACTTATTTTTAATTATGTCATATGCGTGTGTGTGTGTGTGTGTGTGTGTGTGTGTGTGTGTGTGTGTGTATGGGATCCCTGAAGCCATTCCAAGTCACACCTGTGGAGGCAAGGCCCAAGCCTGAAGGCTTTCTAACCCCATACCACAAGCCATTCTGACCTTCATGAAATAAAGAAAAGCTCTTCAACCCACACATGCCTCACAGGTTGCAGTGTCGTGCCCCCCCCCCAATCTTCCCACTATTTAGAGAAAACAGGTGGCAAACAGAGCCACAACAGCACCTCCACCCTGAGTGGCTCCTGCAGTTCACAGAAGGAAATGTGTAGAACAGCGCCCCCTGCCTGCCTCAGGTACAAACTATAGTCGGGAGACTCAGCGGTCCCTATCCATCCCTCAGCAGGGATTATGTTTCTAAGGCCCAAGACCATCCGTGGGTACTGGAGTTACACACTATGTTTCTTCCTTTACTTACACTCTTGCGATAAAGTTTAATTAGGCAGAGTAAGAAGTTAGCCATAAAACACAACAACTGTTGCAATGTGTTATAATAAAAGTTTACAACTTGTAGATCATTTATTTCTGGAAGTTCCCATTTAGTATTTTTGGAAGTGTGGACACTCAGAACTACACACACACACACACACACACACACACACACACACACACACACACACACACACACACACACACACACACACCAAATCCTAACTGATTTCTTTTTATTAACTGTTCAGTGGTTCAAGATTCCAAGAACAGTTCAGCTCACCCATACCTGGCCACACAATGGGAAAGCAAGGTCAAAGGCATAGATTTATAACCCTGGCCTTTGAAACAATGCCACATACTAACAGCCAACATCTAAATAGACTTTTATTTTTATTTTTCTTGTTTGGACAGAAAAGAAAAAGTCATTGGCCTTCGTAAGTCTCCCTAAGTGTTGGAAACACCTGAACTCAGAAAAAGTGGACCTTGTAGAAAAGCATCACAAATTAAAAATATATTTCTCCATGTGGTAAAAGTGCTTTCAATCTGATTAAGGGTACAGCAAAGGTTATCTTAAACACAATCTGAAATCGGACCCACGACCCGTGGCATCGCAGGTCCCACCACAAGTGAGGGTACTTGTGGGGAGAGAGGACACAGAAGTGACAAGGTGTGAAGGGCATACTGCCAGCTCACCTCAGCTCACTGAATGAATGAGGAAGAATGTCCCAGAGCCCCCACTGAGGACATTGTGTATCTGAAAGAAATTAGGTGGCTGTGGAGATCAGATGAAGGGGCTGCAAGGTGCAGAAATCACTTGTTTCCCATCTGTGGGGACAGTGGGTTCGCCTTGGGGCTGAGGCTCCCTGGGATGTGTCAACCTCTGACAGGAAGGGCCTGGGTTGATGGATTCCACATGCCTTCCTGTCAGCTGCTGCCTGCCCCCACTGTGGGAAGTCTCCAACCCCAGGCCGAGTCACCATGTGGTTCCCTAGCCAGGGCCTCCCAATCCAGCTGTACCTTTCTGGGGGACCACCACACACGGAGAAAGGATGGTGGGGGGTTTTGTTTTCACAATGCTACATATTTCTCAAAACAAGTAATTCTGCCAACAATGACATGGTGACAAAGTGCACAGCCTGCAGGCTCCCCAGGCCTCGGTAGGTGTAGCCGCATCTGGCCCTTCCTACACTGTCACAGGCCAGACACAGAACTGTGATCATGCAGGAAACTGTGAGGGTGTATGGGGCGGGAGAGGAGCGGACACATTTTGTTACAGTAGACCTTAAGCAACAGTAGGAAAATAACCTGAAGATATATTGAAAAATAAAAAAACGGCATCGCTCTTCACTGTGAACCTGTCGGTTCCCTCTTGGCCCTGCCCTCCAGCAGCCCCATGGAGGACGCAGCAGGAACACCCTGTTTGTAGTCAGCAAGCTGCAACCGTTCCTGTCTCATCAGCTGAGTTTTAATGGCACCACATTGCATTTCTTCTTTCAAGGGAGCCATCTAAGGTGATCACACACATCCCTAGGTGCTGAGTGGTGGCACCGAGTGGTCCATTTTGCAAGCTTGTCTGGTTTGAACTTTAGCCTGTCATAATCTCTCAAGCTCTGGGAAGCAGAGCATGGTCCACCGGTCCTATTGCTGGTACCTTCTGAGGTCACAGCCTCTCCAGTCACCTGTATCAGGCTCTGGGGAGCCCCCTTTTCGAGGGGGTGCTGAAAGCAGACCCTCTGGCCACACGTGGCCCTACAATAAGCAGGCAGGTGACAGGCTCCCTCTTTGTCCCTGCCACCCCTGGGCCAGCACAGTCTCAGTGGGCTGGTGATGCATCCTCCAGGCCCAGCAGCTCCCTGACAAGCCTCTCTCCAAACTGTGCCCGGCTGTACCTCTTCACGTGGTAGGCATCTGACATTTTGTACAGGATGTAGGCGTTGTTGACAGCAATGCTGATGGCAAACCAGAACACCTGCTGCCACGTCTTGTTTGGCTTGTGAGAGATGAAATACCTGGGGACAGAGGGGAGGTACAATGTTGTGAAGCTATTTCCCGAGGTTTAAACACTCCCTGGTGGAGGGGAGCTCTTTAAGACTCAGGAAGTAAATGAAACCCACAAAGCGCAGGAAGAAACAAACCCCACAAGGCTGAGGGAGCTCTTGGAACTCGGTGGGGTGGGGGTTGGTTTGCAAGGTCCCATCCCAAGGCTACATCAGCCCTGGCAAATACTGGGAAAGGGAGACTCTCCAACCAGCTGAGAGAGCTCCAGGAATACAGGTTCTGTGAGCTGTCACCTACGCTCCTGTTAAGTGACCATGATAAACTCACTGGTTCACCAGGTTAGACTTGGGTGGAACTATTTCTTTAATTTGTCACTAGTGCCCAATCTGGGGTCGACAGGTGTTTGCCCACCTCTCCTCAGAAAAGTCACATAGCAGGCAAGCTGGTTACAGCTCCCAAGGAAGAAGAGCTCAGACTCTACAGTTCTGCCAGTGTCTGCAGACTCCCATTTGGTGGGGGCACCAGGGACCAGCTGTGGGCAGGGCTCCGTCACAGTGAACTTCACTCAAGGAAAATGAAGAGAAAGAAGCAGCTATTTAGGGATGTGAGAGAAGGTGGGGCTCTGACAGGCCCAACCGCAGCCCCCAGCATCCCTCTTCCCAAAGTCCTTCTCTAGGCCCATCCACACCTGAACTGCTTGATCCCATAGCTCCAGGCCTGCGGTGTGCTCTCTCTTTTCCAGATGTTTCCATTATCCATTTGTCCTTCCTTGGGGAAGATGCAGGACCCTGGGACTCGCCCTGAGGACACTATTTATGCCCAGAACCTTATCACAGGATTTTCTTTCCTTATGTATTTTCTCTGCATCCTGGCCTCATCATGTCTGAAGACCACCAGAGTGTCTAGCACAGGACACTACACCCTGTGTCCACTAAACCACCACCACTTTGAAACACTGTGACACTGATGTGGCAGGTATCCTGTCAAGGCAGAAGCAGTGGCTTCTCACAGGAAGGTTAGATGCTCCAGAGAAGACACAGGTCTTGCTCTTCCCTCCCGACCAGATCAAAGGCCAAACAATTGAGGTTCCCCTGAGGCAGCCAAGCCAAGCTCGGCTACTTGGTTAGCTGAAGCAGCTTTGCTCTAGGTAGGAGACTGTGATGGAGGCATCTATGTGCTCAACAGCCTCCTCTGGTAACCAGGACACCTAGCAGGCTGGCTCTACGTACATGTAAGCCACACACATCTACTGTACACACTGCATGTGCCTTCTGTACACTGTGTGTGCACAGCACAAGCCTACACCTGATCTCAGGCATCCTTGTGTAAAGGAACCAAGGACTCAGAAAAAGACCTTGAGCTGACTCCTGGCATTGTGGACAGATGGGAGGGGGCAGGATGGACAATGCCCATAGAGGACAGAGGCTGAACTGTATGCCAAGATGCCCACACTGGGGTATGAGCAGGGAAGGGGTCCTTGTGCTCCAATCTTACGTCCTTCAACATGTCTGGGCCGACTCTATGAACCCTACACACCACTATGCCCATGTTGCTTGCCCTCCACACCCCCTCCACCGCCATGCAAACGCACACAGGTCGCCCACACACTCACTTGCTATACTTGTCATCGTATCTACAGATATAGCTGAGATGAGCAGCAAAGGCCTCCACAGCCAGCGGACAGGGGATTTCCCCACTCCTCCTCTTGATGATGACACCTGTAGGGGAGACAGGAGCTCAGTCCCCTTCCAGGCACTTAACAGCTTCCCAATGTTCTTGGCTGCCCAGTTCCGTGGAGTGCGGTGGGGTGGGGTGAGAACTGGATCGGCACCATCCGTCAGGTGCTTTAGCAGAGCGGGGGGAGGGGGCACTGAAGGCAGCAAGGGCAAAGACATCTGCCACCAAGACTCTGTAGCTTCATGGGGGCACAGGGACAAGGACATACCCACAGGCAACTCTAAGAGGCACATATAGACTACTGCCATGACAGGCCTGAGTGGAGCTGAGGGAAAGCAGGGCTCTCTCTTCCTCCACATACTGGTTGACTTGGTCAAGGGCTGCTGGGAGGGGAACAGTGGCAGTTTCTCTGTTCCCTTTACAGTGTAGGTGGGGCCATGTCCCAGAGAAACAAGAAGGACACCACTTCCACACCAGGTCAACCCCCTCACACCTCTCAAGGGACTCTCCTGGGACCATGAGATGGAAGAAAACTCCCTACCTTCCCCACTTCGTTACCATCCACTGTCCCATCTACCCCAGAATGTTTTCTCTACACATACAAAGGGGGTGCAGACAATGCACCTCCAAAGCCATGGCACAATTCACAACCAGCAGAGCCTGGGGACCAAAAGGAAACGCATAGGACCCCACCCTTCCATTGCACCAATGGCTGCTGTGTGATGCCTGTCTCCTGGCCTGCTTATGCACTGTCTGCCCAGCCTCTGTGGGACACAGGGACAAAGATGGAGGTGTCCTTCCTAGCACCATGTGCACTGGGCATGCTTAGGGTTTCCCACTGTGCTGGCTAGCTTTAGGTGACTCTACAGAAGCATACATTTATGTGGAGAACATAAACATACACACACTGCACATGTGAACTACACATGTAAACCACACATGTAAATGACCGTATATACACTGTACACACACACACACACACACACACACACACACACACACACATACACGCCACACGTCACACGCCATACCTCAGGGACATGCATGCTACACACCCAGCATGCACACAGGAATGCAAACTGCTGTGAACATACCATCCTGGGAGCATCTCTGTAGATTCTCTTGCAACCTCTCAATTTTTTTTCTCAGCAGTTTAACACTGTCTTAACTGTCAGTTACTTTAAATACAGGCTCTAGGCTAATTAAGTCCCTCTGTTCTGAATCGATTTTAAGTCCCCAGAGAATTAGTGAGGAAAACAGCAGGCCGCCTGGCAGCCTGGATTACACAGGCATTTTGCTTCCAGGAGTCTGTGATGATAAAATGATCTACAGATCTCACCCAGAATGGAGCCCATCACCACGCCCCAAACAATAGAATCATCACACCCTAACAAGCAGGTGAGGCTACAAAAGCACTTGTCAATCAAATCCTCCCAGCTTGCCAAGGCAAGCTGAGGGTTCATGAGGCTCTTCCCTGCCCCTTCCCAGGACAGAACAACAAACCACTATCAACACAGACGGCATGAGGGTCCTCCAGGCTTGTGCTCTAGATGCCCCCCACTTCCTACACCCATACTCACACTCCCGACTCACCTTGCTGCACAGGGGAGTAGGCGTTGGTCAGGAAGCGGAAGTGCCCCTTGTTGTACCAGCAGATCAGAGACATGTTTCCCTTTGTCCTGATCTGGTGCTGGCCCCGGGCAAGTGGGGTGGCAGGGTTGGTCAACATGGATTGAGGGAGGCCCGTGCAGTCACTTTTCCTAGAGCTCAGTAAGCCACAGCAGTAGATCCCTGGCAGGAAAGATGCAAAATCTCACATGTGCCATTGTCAGGGTACCCAATCCACAACCCACGGAAGGAGAGACTGGTGAGAGCAGGACCCTCCAGGAGCAGCTGCTGAGGTGTTTCCTCTCTGCCCCGACCCCTTCCTCTATAGGAACTCACCCTGAGGTCACTAAGGCCACAACTAATGTAAGTAATAGATAAATGCAACAATATGGCCCAACAATGTAGCCAGAGTCCTTGGGACGACATGCCTGGCAGTTCTTAGGGCTCTTGTCACTGTAGACAAAGCACATGGTACTCCACTGCAAAGAGCTCAGTAACCCTACATGCTTCCAAAAATTTATAGTGATGTCATTTTTATATTACCTAACCTTAGAAAAAGACAAAATCCCATACTCAGTCACTCTCTTCCAGCCAGAGTTCTTTGTCCATCTTCTAGTTTGCTGAACCAGGGAATGCCTTTACCTTTGAATCTCAGAAGCAACACTTCTGACTCCTGGGGAAACAGCCCCAATGGTCCAGGCCATGCTCTGGTACCAATACTCATGCTGCTCTGCACATCTGGCACTGCCCCCCCCCCCACGAATCCAACTCTTAGTGCTGATAGCAAATCCAGGAGTAGACCATCACAAATATATGCACACCATCAAAGCTTACACCTCTATATACATGCCTCCACGGACAGGCAGCAGGCTAGCTCCCCACTGTGCTTCATGGAGAGCCAGATCTCCTCCAAAGCAGCTGTGTCATGTGTTCTAGGATCAGTTCCTGTAGCTTTCCTTCCCCCCTCAGTCTGATCTCTTGCAGAGCTCATGCCACAGATGAGCTCTGAGCCTGCCTGCACCAGCCAGTGCAGAGGGTCACCCTTACCTAGCCTGCAATGCACAGAGGTGGGCTGCTCCCTCACTTCAACACGGCTTCCAAGGCCTGGGATGTAAGCTGCTTAATTCCTTCACAATACAGGAGGGTTTAGTTTTGAGGCCTGATACCCACTGTGTGGCAGAGCACAATGCCTCCATTCTAGTAGCTTCTATCTACAAGTGATAATTTCTGAGCTGTCTCCAAGCACAGCTTAGCATTTAGGTCTTCATTTTTACATCCAACTTCTATGAAAGCCATGGAGGCTTATCCAGTCCGCAAAGAACAAAGAGAACCCCTTGCCCCAAGAAACCTAAGACCTTTCTGAGGCCCGTGGGATTGTTCCTGACCACAGAGGTCTCTGCCAGATGGGAAGGAGACTCACTAGTGATGGTGGGTAATTCTCGTACTTTTCAGACCCTTCTTACTGGGGCTTTTCCTCCAAGCCTTTGATGGCCAGAACCATACAGCAAAGCACACACACACACACACACACACACACACACACACACACACACACACACACACACACGAGTGCCCAGAAGACTGGCAGAGCTCTGTGCCAATGCTGTCTCTAGATGGTGAGCCCAGGACTCACACACCTTGAGGTCACCAGAACCCAGACACAGGGCAGCAGAGACACTTATACAGTCTGTGTTAGCCACTACTCCTGTCCTCCTTATCCATTCACCACTTCCCCAAGGAGCTGGCTGTGTTGGGATGGCCATAGGACAAACCTTGCTTCTCAAATTCTTCAAACAGTGTGAGGCTGGTGATGCTGGGCCCTGTGAAGATGATATAATTCTTTCCAGCTGCGTTCCGGCACAGGCTCCGGGCAACCATGCTGTGGAGCTGTGGCTTGTTCTTCAAAGCGTCCAGGCCATCTGGGCCACCGCCTTCCTTCAGGTGGACATAGATCTTGAATGGAAATGCACAGAGGTCAGAGAGTGAAGGGTAACATGGACTATAGCCTGAAGCTGCAGGAAAGACGGGGTCAGAGAACACTGGGAAACCACTCCATTGTCTCATCAGCCTCATGCAGTCCTAGGTCACCACCATGGCAGCCCAAAACCTGAGCAGCTGGAGTGGTTTAGCCTGGAAGCTTCTTTTAGGAAAAGTCTAGGTGGGAAAGGAGCAGTTACAGAAGGCAAAACTGGCAGTCAAAAGTAATGTAAACCTGCTTCTAAGTTCCCAAACATAAATAAAAATAAAATTAAAAAAATAGAGGCCAGGGTCACTTCAAGGGCTGGGCATGTTCTTATATAGGTACTGCCCACTGGGCAAAATGACTAGTCAGCTCAGAGACAGGCAGAACGGGTCTCCTCTGTCTCACCATCCCTGAGACACAATGGAGGTCAGACACACTCCAAGGGCCAGGGAAGCAAAGTGCTACTGAGCTTAGGAGGCAGTCCCTAACACACTATCCAGACCAGCTCCATGACTGTCACCAAAGGATTGGATGTGGGAAGAGGATGGAGTCGATGTAGGGTAATGACCAGTCCCTTCCCCTAAGGAGAGTAGAAGTTCTTGGAGGTGCTTGGAGACTTCTGTAGACAGATGCTCAACAGACACCACCACTCTCCTATGCCTGCCCTTCCCTGCATCATGCTGACATTGGCGCAATCTGATCATGGCAGAACTGTTAGGAGCTGGGTTACCAACAATGCTCTCCGGGGAACACCCAGAAGGAGCATGTGGAAGACCCAGCTACCATGTCAAGACCCATCCTGTCTGATGAGTTTGGAGGTCATCTACCAAGCACAAGTGTCCTTGAGGAGAACAGCGAACATGAAGGCCCAGCTCTGTGTTTAGGTCAATGCACAGGAATGTGATTTAGCAAGAAAGCCTTCAAAAGAGTGAGCAATACTTCACTGAGAAGTAGTGTAGAATAACAGAGCCACCAGGCTCAGCAATGGCCAGAAAGCTTGTGGGTCCTGACCTGTCATGGATCTCCTGTAATACACAGCTGTTTTGACTCCACATGCATTCACACTTAGCTTCAGAAACACTATGCTCCAGGGTTTTAAAAAATGACTGCATGTACCACAGACATATATGTTGGCACCTAACGCTATAGGAGGGAAGCCTGTGCATAACATAGGTGGCTCTTGTGTTCATGGACCACAAGGTTGAAGTCAAAACATCAGCTGGTGTGTTTCTACCCAGAGCTCAAGAGCCTCCTGGGGCAATGAGACTGAGAATGTCCATCACTCTCAGAGCCATGAGGATTGTCTATGTCTCTACCCATATGGCTTCTGTCAGTCTTGTTTATATGGGCATGGTGACTACATACTCAAATGGCTACTTCTGTAGGTGGTTAGAATGCAAAATGTTCTCCACATTTGTGTGTTTGGACAGTTGGTCCCCAGCTGGTGATACTGTTCTGAGAGGTTATAGAACCTTTTGGAGGTAGGGCCTTCTTGAAGGGTGTGGTATGCTGGCCTGGAGTATTATATCCTGGTCTCTGTTTTCTATTGAGCTCTCTGCTTCCTGACTATCAACACAATGTCCCACTGACACAAGCCTGAGCTGCCACTGTGTCTGCCTAGCATTGAACTAGCAGAAACATCTCCTAAGCTGCTTCTTGTTGTGTGTTTGGTCTTAGTGACAAGAAAAGTGACTAGTACAGAGAACAGTAAGCATTTACTAGGGCTGGGGAGATGGCTCAGTGGTTAAGAGCACTGATTGCTCTTATGTTTGGTCCCAGCACTCACACGGTGGCTCACAACAGTCTGTAATCATTCCAGGACATCCAATACTCTCTTCTGGCCTCCACAGGCACCAGGCACACATGTGGCTCACGTACACTCATAGGCAAAACTCATATACATAAAACGAAAAGAAACAAATCTTAAAAAAAAAATAAATCATTTACTGGAATTACAGATGTTCTGGGTTTTGTGTGGAGGGGTGCCGAAGATAAAATTAAATTAGGAGGAGACACTAATTATAAAGACCTCCACCAGTACTGATAAGTACAGCTGAAAACTGGTGTGTTCTGGGACACAAGTTTGTGGTCACTGGTGTGTACTGCCTTCTGTGCAGGTCTGGAGATGACCGGGACTCGAAGCTAGGCCAGGATCTTGCCCTCCTGGGACTGGCAATTTTCTCAAACACCAGTAATGGGCAGCTGAGAGTTTTCCCTTGGTATTTGCAAGACCATCTGAAATTGCTCAGCACCTTGCCCACTTTGTCCAGGCACTCTTCTCAAGGTGCAGCCATGGTGTAACATGGACTTCTGCTGAGCCAACAGCCTTTCCCTGTCAAGAAATGTGGAAGCAGCACCAGAGAGGTGCTCAGAGACCCCCAAGTGCAGAGAACTCACTACTATACAATAGTAAGTTCTATGCTTTAAAAATTAAATTCATTAATTTATTGCATGTGTATATGTGTATGTGTACACATGCACGCCTCTACCTGTGAACATGCCACTGTGCACCATGGTGAGTGTGTGGAAATCAGAGGACAACAAGGGGGAATTAGTTCTCTTTCCATCATGTGGGTCCCAGGGATCAAACTCAATTGTCAGGCTTGGCAGCAAGCACCTCTACCCATTGATCCATCTCACAGAACCTCTATACTTGTTGTTTAGAGATACAGTCTCACTATGTAGCCCAGGCTGGCCTGGAACTCAACAGCATTCCTCCTGCTTCTCCCACTGATTTTTTCAAATAACATGAGGGCCACTGTGGTGACTGATCTGGCCACTGAGTTGCACCAGCTGACATTCCACTCATTGTCACTGGGGTCTGGTGCACTGGGGGTCTCTACAAAAATGAGCCAGAAGCCCCCCTACACTCACTGGCATGACTCTGTGGACGTAAAACAGGCGAATCTTGTCAGCAGCTGTGTGAGGAGAAAGGAAGGATATACATGATGCAGTCATGGGCAAACTGCACAAAGGTGCATAACTGGTACTTACAGGAAAGACACAGGTGAAATGCTGGAGGTGTGTGGCCACGCCAGAGAGCCCTGAGGCTTATATACATCGCCTCACAAGAGATACTGGAGACACAAGAGTGTGGGTGCTAGAGTGGGGGCATGGCTGCATCACTCACTGCTTGTGCAATTATAAGCATGCTTGGAGCCTCGCTTTCCTGGTTCATGAGAAAGATTTGATGCATGCAGCCTACAAGCCTACTGTGAAGTCAGGCACCCAGAAGTGTTTTGTTTTGTTTTAGCATATCTTGTTAGACAGTGTATTTCATGTATGACAGTCTGGCCTTGATCTTGTATGTAGCAGAGGATGAACTTCTGATCCTTATGCCCCAACCTCCCAAGTGCTGGGCTTACAAGCATGATCTACCATACAGGCTATGAGGTGCTAGTGATCGCATCCAGGGCTTTGTGCATGCTAGGAAAGCGCTCTACCAATTTACACCCCCAAAGTGCTTTTTAAAATTCAATCATCACCACTATCCTAGGATTGTTGCATGACCCCCAGCAGACATTTGACAGACGGTACTATTCCTTGTGTCTTGTCACACACAGTGGCTACAACTTTTGCAGTTTGAGATATGACAACAAAATGAGCCCAAACCTCCCTTCTTCACAGCTTCACAGGGAGATTCCTTCTTAGCACAGATCTTAGCAACCCGGCATTCAACTCTATTTCTCTTTCCTTATCAATTCAAGAACTTTCACCTTGCATCTAGGAGAAGCACTCTGCCATACATTTTTTGACAAATCTGAGTGGTCTGCATCATGATTCTTTTGTTTGGAGGTTATTATAAGGAAACACAGCTCATTTTGGGCACAAGCACTGTGATCTGATGTGGACAACAGCAAGGTGACTTATGGGAAGGTAGAGTACATAGAGTTGATAAAACAGTGTGGATATGCTGGGCAAATGGATGACTCACTTCTCAGATGGACCTCAGATTCCATCTCCCTACTCGAGAAAGGCACAGAACTTAAGAGCTGGTTATTTCTGAAGTGTTTTGCATGATATTTTCAGATAGCAATTCATTGCAGGTTAACTTGAAATTGTGGGCTGGTCATGTAAATGTGAACAGAGAACACAGTGCAAGTAACAGCACTTGAGACACCTGTAAGGTTGGAGGTAGCAACACAGCAATGACTAACAGGCAGCAGACAGTCAAGGTCAGCACTCTGTTGATGGACCCAGAGATAGAATGGACTCCAACCACCCCAATGGCCTGAATGACATATGATCATCTCTATATTTGTGCCAGGGGACATGCATGGGGCATGCGGGCCCTTCATGATTCAGCCTAGAATAGTCAAGGACTAACCAATCTCAAAGCAATGACTTCAGCCATTGCCCAGTCTCTGCCATGGTCCTAGATGAACTCTATATAAAGAAGTCTGATGGCTTTCCCTCCTGAAAACCCTCCAGCTCTCAGGGGCTTTTCTTTCTTTTCTTTACCCTCTCACCTTTACCTAACTCTCCTTATTAAGACTTGATTCCACTGAGACAAACTTAGAGCCAGTATCCCAGAACATCTTTGGTGCCTCTGAATGTCTAGCACCATTGGTCCTTGGATCATGTCAAAAACTCTATATGACAGGGGTGGAGTCAGGTATGACTGTGTCCTCTCCAAAGACCAGCTACCCCACAGTAGGCAAAGTGAGACCAGACTGGCCTCTGCCGGAGTGCTGGGGCCAAGTGTGACATACAGTGAGAAGACAGTGAATTAACTGGGCCTGTGGTATTCCACTTCAATGGAATACCTTCCCATCTTTCCGATGCCCGCATATCCCCAGCAGCCCCCATTTCTGACGCCTCTCACCCCCTCCACAAAGCCCCTGGCTCACCTGGATGATGAAGCCAGTAGAAGAGCACTGGCGGACCCACAGGCTGAATTTCCGCTTTTTCCTCTTCCGCAGCTCACGCTCAGTGCATGTGGCGATGAACACAGGGTCCTCATCAATCAGGGGTTCATGTAGCACCTTTGGGGGGTAGGAGGGAAAGAAGTTCTCACAGGGCATTGTAAACTCGGCTCTCAGCAACACCTTCGGAAAGCTGTGTGACCATGACTAAGTTTCCTGACTTCCCTGACCTGGAGTCTCCTTACCTGTGAAGGGTTAGTGCAATTACAGTGGCACTCTAGGGAGGGCTCAGCTAGGAAGCATGGGTTTACTCACCTACATTCTGGTGCAAAGAGGTGTTCCTTTAGCAGAGATGACCGTGGTTCTTGCTATCCTCTTTACACAGTCTCACACTGGCTGTGCCTGTAGTCTTCACCAGCATGAGACACAGGTCCATCTTTGGTGACTGTGAGTATCCTTGGGTCATGTCAAAACCCTACATCACTCAGATGGAACCAGGTATGACTGTGACCTGTATTGGTGATCTATATCACTGGCCTAGAGTCTTCAGGCCCAACTTGTGTCATTGTGTGTGGAGGTGTAAGTGTGTAGGGGTAAGGGGGGATATGTATGCACGAATGAAGGTGTGTTGTGGAATATTATTTTAAGATTGCTACATTAAGAATGCTGTGGAACATTTGTTTAATGATGCAAAGATGTGTTGTATTCTTTTATGTTGCATTTGTTTAACTCTGTGAAGCTGTGTTACTTTGCCTGTCTAAAGCACCTGACTGGTCTAATAAATAGCTGAATGGCCAATGGCAAGGCAGGAGTGGGATAGGCAGGGCTGCCAGGCAGAGAGAATAAATAGGAGGAGAAATCTAGGGAAGGGATCTAGGAGTGAGAAAAGGAGAGGAGGACATCAGGGGCCAGCCACCCAGCCACACAGTAAGAAGGAAAGAAAGGCATACAGACTAGAGAAAGGTAAAAGCCAAGAGGCAAAAGGTAGATAGGATAATTTAAGAAAAGCAGGCTAGAAGTAAGCCAAGCCAAGGCAGGGCATTCATAAGTAAGAATAGGTCTCCATGTATTTATTTGGGAGCTGGGTAGCAGGCCCCAGAGAGTAAAAACAAACAAACAAACAAACAAACAAACACAACTATAGGGGCTGGAGAGATGGCTCAGAGGTTAAGAGCACTGACTGCTCTTCCAGAGGTCCTGAGTTCACTTCCCCGCAACCACATGGTGGCTCCCAACCATTCATTATGAGATCTGGTGCCCTCTTCTTGTGTGCAGATATACATGGAAGCAGAATGTTGTATACACAATAAATAAATAAATCTTTTAAAAAAAGAAAAAAACCACAACTACAAAGGTGTCTATAGGGGTCTGATTCCCTGGGACTGGAGGGACAAGTGGTTGTGAGCTGTCCAATAGGAGTGCTCTAAAGTGAGCCTGGGTCCTCTGCAAGAACAGGAAGCATTCTTAGCCACTGAGCCACCTCTCCAGCTCCTACACCCCTAAGCAATTATTAACTGTATTTCACCTATGTCAACTTCTTGATAACATGATTCTATGACCTTTTCAAAGACAGTACAATACAATGAAAAGACTCCAAGTAGGTTTGTCAAACTAAAATGCTTTGGAGACTTTTGAGAACATTGTGGCAATACAGTACACACAGCAATTCCCTCCCCAGTTCTACTCCACAATTATGAATGAGAGTGCATATCTGCAGTTAAATAAGATGATGTGCAAACACAATGATTTCCACTCTACGAAATGCTCTAGATTGAGGATCATCAAACCACTGCCTATTTTTGTAAACAAAGTTTACTGGAATAATTCCCTGTTCTCATCCACTGCAGCTTTATGGCCACAGGAAAGAAGGGACAAGACCCAATAGGGACCACATAACATCTAAAGCAGTCTTTGGCCACGTGCAGAAAAAGTTCCAAGGACCTCAGCTTCTAGAGATGGTGGTTAAGTGTGTCTCTCTCTGCAGATTTGAGTCAGTCCATGGCCTGGCATGGGCACTATGGAAGGTGAGCTCTGCACTGGTGACCCAGAATTCCTTTGGTAACAGTGCCTTTGGTTCTATTTTTTAAAAGGCATCAGCCTCAGGGCTTTATAGATGGTTCCTCTTGCAGAGGGTCCATATTTGGTTTCCAGCATCCCCATGGGGGCTCACAACCTTGTGGAACTCCAGTTCTAGGGGATCCAATGCCCTCTTCTGATTTCTGTGGGCACAGCACACATGTAGTGGACTTCCATACATGCAGGCAAAACACTCATATACATAAAATAAACATCAGCCACACCTCATTGGTTTGCACTGCCACACTCTGTCCCTTGGATTTTTACTGTTGGAAAATCCTGAAAGTGAGTTCAGGATGTACCCCTACCTCTGCTTGGGATGGGAACCGACAAGTTGGACTGCCTGTGCTGCAGCCCAGACCTTCATGTCCAGTTCTTCACAGGCCCTGACTCATTGTAGCTTATGAAACATTCAAAGCCCCAGGTGGAACCATCTAGCAAAAATGGAATATCTAAGGAGGTCACAGGAACAGGGAAGATGGCATCCAGGTGTCCCCAGCTCCCTGCTCTTGCCCTGCCCTTCTCCTTGTCCAGATCATGCATCTGCTGTTTCTCAGCCACCCAAGCGTCCTCCTCCTCAGTGAGCCAGTGGGCAAATCTCCACATGATCTTCAACCACATTTATAAGCGAATCCTAGCAGGGCCAGCAAGAACCTCTGAGTTTCACTTCTCCTCTAGGGAAAACAGCCAGCATCTCTTGTCATACCATGCTATCCCCGAGTTCTCTCTGTGCAACAAGCTACTCAGGTGTGCCAGGTAGCATGTATGGTACACAAAACATCTCTTACTTATTTGAATATCCCTCTCCAGGGATATTTCTCTGATTAATCTGACTCCAGTTTTGATGAAAGTAATGCCTCCTACTTGTACATGAACACACACGAAAATGGCTTCTTTTCTTGCTGGCAGATTCTGGGGTCTTCAGAGGACTCTGTAAAATCTTCTGCAAAGGGTAACATTTGCTAGAATGGTAGTTTTCAAGATTACACACTGAGAATTCGTGTGTGTGTGTGTGTGTGTGTGTGTGTGTGTGTGTGTGTGTGTACGCACCCACGTATGCTATTGCACACATGTGCCTGATCATCCATGTATCTGTGTGTTCAGGGCAGAAATGATGGTGGTGGTACAGGGAGCTGGCTCTGAGTCACTCCTGGGAACCAGAGCAAGTCTGATTCCAACTCCGACAAGAGTGTGAAGAAGAACACTGTTTCAACTGGTCTCAACAGGAAAAAGGCAGACAAGTTCCCAGGCAAGAATTAGCTTGCCATCCTCTCCCACCACCCCACCTCTGGCTCTTACAAGATGGCTGGAAAGTTCTAGAACACTAGGGAAATCTGTGCTGAGTGGTCAGAAGTCTATGGACCTGAGACATGATAATATTTCCCACAAAAGCCCAGAGTTTCCAGTTGTGCAGAATAGAGGAATATTACAGACTCTAGTAGAAGTGAACTTTGGGAGCCTAGCAGGAGCCTCTTAAAGATGGTCATGGGCATAAAGAATAGTGCATCTGTGTAACTGGGTCTCTCCACAGAGGGCACTCAACTTACTTACCTAGGCACACAACTTCTTAAGTTGAGTTAGAGAGCTTTACAGATACCAGCCACCTCCTCAATGTGCCAGATCAACAGAGCGATTCTGAGGAGAGTCTGAGATTCTGACACCAGGCTGTGTGCCAGTGTGACAGTGCTGAGGACAGGTGGACATGGAAGGCAGGGTGGACCAGGAGCTGAGAGCACCTAGAGCATCCACCTCCTGGAACAGGTTAAGGGCATCTGGAAGGAGTCGGGGGGGAGGGGGGGCGGGTGCTTGGGGCACCAGACCATAGAAAAGCCTCCAAGTTCTGCCCTGAGTAATCAGGTGGACCTTTGCATGTAAGAAGTCCCAATGACCAAAAGAGTAACCGCAATTCCAGCTCACCCCTTCACTGTCCAGAAGGTGAAGGCACACTACCAGGTCTATGCCCCTCAGTGAACACGACAGGGATCCTGAGGCTAGACTGTGTAAAGCCTGGTGCAAGAAGTGCCATGGAACAGGAAGGGATGAAAAGAGCTGTATCTCTGAGCAAAGGGTTGAATTCCAACTGTCTGGGAGTTGGAGTTCAAGCCCCCACTATCCTTTACAAACATGTTTGGATCATAAGGTCAACAGTATGCTAGTGACCTTAAAACGACTTGCTCAAGTCACTGTAAAAAATACGGCTGGATAGGGAGAAAGGACATCCTAAACCCTGTGCTTAGCCAAGAGAAGTCTCAGGGAATTTAGTGGCACCTGGTGCGTGCGTGCGCGCGCGTGCGCGCGCGCACACACACACACACACACACACACACACACTTGTGGAATCACATACATGCACACGTGCACACACACACACCAATGCACACTGGCCTCACCTGGGTCTGAGATGGCCTGAAGGCAGCATCAAAGCCACTCTGCAAGGAGTCAAGGAAGGGCTGGACCTTGTAGAGCCCATGCGTGGTCTGACTGGACCGGAAGGCCACGACATGGAAGTACTTGAGGATCTTCTCAAAGCGGGCCTGGCTCATGACGAGGGCTAGGCTCCGGTTGCTATAGAAGCCTCCACTCCAAATGCTGAGCACTGACTCACAGTGTGAGACACTGGTAGAGATCACATATCCCAGGAAGGCCTTCATCTCAGCCAATGTCACCTCCACCCAGGCACCATCACTGCCAAAGCGGTCCTGGAACTTCCTGGCATACATGTTGGTCTGTACTACCATGTTCTTGAGCACGTTGTCTGGAACAAAAAGCTGGAAGAAGTCCACTGCACTAGCGCTGGGGGGCATCTTTCTGGTTGGACCTAAAACCCAAAGAGAGGCCAAATGTTCACTCCCAAAGCCAACACTACCTGACAGGGGCCAGGTCCTCTTGGCCTTGGGCCTCAGGCCAGCAGCCCTGTCTAGCCTCCCTTTCTTCCTGAATCTGACACCTTGCCCAACTGGAGGGCACGGCCCAGCTCTCCCATCTCCTGGGCTTCTTGCCATTCAGGTGCTCTTGTCTTGTCTCCTAGGAGACATCTCTCTGTCTCCCAGAACAGACTCATCATTCCCACCTTCTTCCAAACCTGTCTCCCATAGCCCAAGCCCTGCTGTTCTGTTCCTTCCACCCCTGACCTCCTGTTGCCAGGCCCACCCCATGTAGGCTGCCCCCACATATACCCTGTAGGACATCAGTGGCAATACCCTTTCAAGAATCTAGCCAAACAAGAGTCCTGCCAAATGCAGCCCACCCAGTGAAGAGAGATCTGAGGAGAGACATGGATGGGAGGGAGCGTACACAGCTCCACCATTACTCTCTAGCATGCATTGTTTAAGGAAAGGGGACTCTGTAACTACAATGCTTCAGTTGCAGCCAGTAGAAAGCAAACTTTATTAAGCATTCCCACATAATCTTTAACTATTAGTGGATTAATTTAAAGGAAGTAATACGCAACAGTTTCACCATTGGGAAACAGGCCTCACAGATTTTAACTGGTACAGCCTCTTTGCACATGTGTGTATGTGTGTAAACACACACACACACACACACACACACACACACACACACACACCTCTTCAACTTACTATAACATTCTCACCATGAACCAAAAACATCTTAAGTGGAAAATGCATGTGTCACCCTAACCAGATTGCTCTAATTCAGTCACAGCACACTGCAGGGTATTGGCTGCTTCCCTCACAGTGGCAACTGACCCAGAGCCACAGCTCAACATCACTGTTCCAAACCTCAGGAGAATTATCAGCTGACATACTGCTAGCCAGAGAAATATCCAAGTTTAAAATGCAAATATGGTTCCTACTCAAATACACCACTGCTTTTGCCTTACCCTAAAGTCAAGAACTTTGGAACTTTGTCTCTGCTCTCTCTCTCTCTCTCTCTCTCTCTCTCTCTCTCTCTCTCTCTCTCTCTCTCTCTCTTCTCTGGGTTTGGGGTTTGTTTGGGGTTTTTTTTTTTGTAGCCTTGGCTGTCCTGGAACTTGCTCTGTATATCAAGCTGTCCTCAAACTCAAACTCAGAGATTCACCTTCCTCCTCCACCTGAGTCCCGGGATTAAAGGCATGTGTCATCACTGCCCTGCTTAAGTCAACACTTAAGCTGAGGTCTCGGTCTCTCTCTCTCTCTCTCTCTCTCTCTCTCTCTCCTCCTCCCTCCTCTTTCTTCTCTTGTGTGTGTGTGTGTGTGTGTGTGTATGTGTGTGTATTTGTATGATTTAGGAGCCACTTATTGCAATTCTACTAAACAGGCTTGAAGCAGCAGCATGCTCTGATTTGTAGGAGTCAAGCTTTCTTTTGCATCTGTGTGGCAATTTTTAATAAAAACTGTGTGTATTCTCCAGAGTTCCAAAGACTTTACTTTACCAGCTTGTTCAGTCTGTGAAAAACCAAACTGTTCACAGCAAAACAAAGATAGCTAAAGCCAATGAGACAGCTGGTTTTTGAGCAGTGGCCAGATCCAGGGATGTAACTACCTACATTTTGGGTGGGTGTGATGTGTATCTGCATGTTTGCATGTGTGTGGGAACCTGTGCATTTGCACATGCACATAGAAGCCCAAAGTTGAAATTATGAACCTTCTTGATTCATTTATTTCCATCTTATTCATTGAGACAGACTTTCTCAATCAAACCCAGAGCTCACCGATACGGATCCAAATGCTAATCCTCATGCTTGCTTGGTAAGCACTTTAATCATTGAGTCACCTCCCTAGTCCCCAATTCCTTAAAAGTCAGTTCACTGTACACCAGATTTGCCAATTGCTCCCAGCTTTAGTTTTCTCTTTGTAGGATGGACTGAGTGAAATCAAAAGACTGTCTACAAAGTAAAATGAACAAGGCCACGTACCAGATTCCCAGCACAGCGCTGGCAGGAGACAAACCTAATGCTTGGCAGCTATTTCTGGAACACCAATAGGAAATCACTGAGGGTTTTGCAATGCCAATCCTGTTTTCAGTTCACCTAGACAGCAGGGCAGCCATCATAGTCACTGTCCCCAGTGACACTGTAGAAAGGTGGCCCTGCTGGCACCAGCACCACACTGACCCAGGAGGCAGTCCAGTTGGCATGGGAATACTGAAACACAGGACTATGTTTACTGGTGTTCCATAACTGCTCCGGTGAACATCTCAGCATTTCAGTAGGCTGGCAGCCTCCTGTGGGTGGAGCCATAAATTATTCAGAATGGTGGTCAGCAAGGGGGAAACCAGCATTGTAACTGCAGCATCATGCTGACTGGGAGGCGTGGGATTTTCTCTTCCTAAAGCAATCCTCCTTCCCATGCATGCCATTTCTAGATGGAGTCTCAAGGCCTGCTCCAGCCTGCTTCACAAACACTGCAAAGTGGCTGGCTTCTCTGACCCATTCAGATTGACAAGCTCCCTTGTTGGTCTTTCTTGGTTACTGTGATCTCTGCCACTTGGAATATAGTGACACAGGTTGGTTACCATGAAGAAGGTGAGTGGTTGATCCAGCTCCTACCCCAGCCTCGCAATAGAGCCACTTAGTTTTCTGCATGGCCCATATAACTTGACGTCAGCCCCAAGGGGCACCACCCCCATACAGCAGAATGTTAGAAGTAGGACATAGCCCATGCTCTCCAGGTGACTTATAGCTGGCTGGCTTTGTAGCTCTGCATGGGACTTTGCCTGCTGTCTGTGGAGATTACTAAGGATGCTACATGCATCCATGGGAACAGCAACCATGTACCTCTCTCCTCTATGACACCCTCCTGCTGTGGGGTGAAAAGGGTAAAGACACCTAATGGGTAACTAAAGGAAGCAGAGACCTTATGTGATAACTGCAAGGAGGTCTGGGGCATGGGTGGTGACTTGTCATCAGGGTCTAGTGAGAGTGAAGATCTCAGTCCAGAGCAAAAGTTGCCGCCACAGGTCACCGGGTTAAGGTCCTGCCTTTACCACCCAGTCCCCCGAACACTGCTTCCTTCCCCTCACTCTCCTCATAGCCTACTGAGCTCAGAACCCCTGAGGGAGTGTCTTTTATTCAACTCCACAGACTGTCCTCTTTGCACAAGACCCAGGACCCACTCAGACATGGCTGCCTGTGACACACACTCTCTGATTCCTATTGAAGCAAGAAGGCCAAGGTCATGGCTGTCCTATTCTTTCTGCCCTCTAGGCTTAGGATGTGGTGGGCTCAACACTTTGGACATTAACTAAGTAGGAGAAAGGGCATCACACTCCATGAGATGCAAAGGACATCTTTGCTGAGTTCAGTAGGAAGAGCAGGGTGCCTGTGTCACTGCTTGGTGACAGGTTTGGATCAGCCATGTCCACCATACCTTTAAGGGTGCCATGGAGGACTGACAGGACAAATAGAGGTCCAGTGCATGTGAGGGAGCCCACCTGAAAAGTCAGGATGTTTTGGGTATTGGTGGGGAAGTCGTAAATGCACAGCCTGCTTGGAGGCAACAATGGGTCCAGTCTTGTCCCAGCCCCTCAGCCTCCTTTCTCCAGCTAGGAAAGCCCCAGGGAACCACTCCTGGTGTTCCTGACTTCCCTCTGCCTTCCTTCCATCTCAAACACTAAGCCAAAAGCAAATAATACAACCTTTATAGTCTCCAAGTACGAGAACCACACAGCCTCACACAGGCAGGACCAACCTTGGCTGCAAGGGGCTTACTGGATTGTTCATTCTTCATTTATGCTACACATTTCTTGACCATCAATGTAGGTGCCAATAAACACCCCAAAGGTACAACGAATTCTCAGCTCCACTCACTGGAATGGAAGAGTGTCTTCTTGTGTTTCCGGAGCAGCCAGGATGCCTGGGGTAGATATGGCCATCTGAACACGTTTCGGGGCAGATACTGTCAGCAGCTTTGTGGCACAGATAAAGGTCAATTCATATTTGAAATGCTGAGTTTAAAAGCCTGCTATCACTTCTCATGTAAGTTCAAAACCATCACTAGACTGTCCCGTATCACCACAAACTGCCACTCTGGAGACACTGGGAATCTCATTTGGTGAAGGGCGGTGAAGAGGCCTGCAGCTCACTGTGTGCCTATAATTCCAGCACTTGGGAAATTGAGACAGGTGGTTCAGTGAACTACTGTGAGTTCAGTGCTAGCCTAATTTATATAGCAAGTTATAGGCCAGCCCTGTGCTTTATAGAGTGAAATCCTGCCAAGAAAAGGAGAGGAAGGGGGAAGGAAATGGAGAGGAAAGGAAAAGACAGAGGTGTTCCTTAGGAATGATGAGGAATAGAGGAAGGCGACAGGGCAGTCAGTAGTTTCAGAATTCAGTCTGGGACGGGGGCCAGCAAGAAGGAACCCTCAGACATAGAAGCAGAGCAGGAGACTGTGCTGTGCCTGTGCGCCTGTGTGCAGAAGCCATGTGTGCCCTTGGTCTAGGCCTCAGTCTCTGAAACCCTGGCTTCAAATCTTTGTTCTTATGTTCAAATGAACTTAACCAGAGGGTCACAGGGGTTCACAGGACAGGCTGGACACAGAAAACACATTTCTACTCCCATAACAACCCTGCCCCAGCATTTAAAAATAACTGGGTGTCCAAAGAAACAATCAAAAAGGGGGTAGCCCAGGCTAGTCTTGACCTCTGGAGAAGCCAGAGGCTCTACAAAGCTCGAGGAACAGGTCTGGTTCTTTCAGTCCAGACGAAAGGGTAAAGCTAAGACCTTTAACTCAGGCCAGACCCCTGTTTAAACACAGCTCTTTAGCAACAGCAAGACTGAGGGAAATAGATAGGGTGATGGTGATAATGACGTCACTGGCAACCACATGGCATAACAGACAGGTGTGGATGCAGCTCCTCTACTACCTGACCTAAGCT